GAGTCGTCGTGGCGGTGTCTCTGGACATCACCAACGCCTTTAACTCGCTGCCCTGGAGCTGCATTTTGGAGGCACTCCGGTACCACCGGGTGCCTGCCTATCTCCGTCGTGTAGTCGAGACTTACTTGACGGACAGATGTGTCATCTACCCCGGTCACCGGGGCGTGTGGAATCGGCGAGAGGTGTCGCGCGGTGTCCCACAGGGATCGGTCCTGGGACCTCTCCTGTGGAACATCGGGTACGATTGGGTGCTACGCACCGACCTCCCGAGCGGCGTCAGCATTGTCTGCTATGCTGACGACACGCTGGTGCTGGCGAACGGGAGGTCGCATCAGGCGGCGGCCGACCTGATGTCACAAGCGGTTGCGACAGTCGTTGCAAGGATCCGGCAGTTGGGACTCGAGGTGGCGCTCCACAAGTCCGAGGCCATGTGCTTCTATGGCCGTCGGAGCGCGCCACCTCCAGGTGGGTCCCAAGTAACGGCAGGAGGAGTTACCATCGGCGTCGAGTCGGCGATGAAGTACCTGGGTCTCGTCCTCGACAGCCGATGGAACTTCACGGAGCATTTTCGTCGTTTGGCCCCTAAGTTGGAACGGTCTGGGGCCGCGCTCAAGCGGCTCCTTCCCAACCTCGGGGGGCCAAACGCCTCCTGCCGGAGGTTGTATATGGGAATTGTGCGATCCATGGCCCTCTACGGTGCCCCTGTGTGGGCGCCGGACTTGAAGCGGCGGCCGGCTCGTACGCTGGTCGCGTCCCAGAGGGTCATGGCTATACGAGTAATCCGCGGGTATCGCACGATCTCCGGGGAGGCGGCGAACCTCCTTGCCGGATCACCGCCGTGGGATCTAGAAGCGAAGGCGCTCGCGCGCGTCTACAGTTTGCGCGCAGACGCGCGTAGCCGGGGCGAAGATCCTTTGCCGCGCCAAATAAGTGCGTGGCGGAATGAGCTCCGGCGAGATCTCATGGCAGAGTGGAGACAGCGACTGTCGCAACCGAGGGCCGGGCACGCTACCATAGCAGCGGTAAGACCCCTCTTTGAGGAGTGGCTTGAGAGACGCCACGGCGTCCTCACCTTCCGTCTGACGCAGGTGCTTACCGGGCACGGCAGCTTCGGTAGGTTCCTGTTTCGGATTCAGCGGGAGGAAACGCCCGAGTGTCGTCATTGTGAGGACCACCTAGAGGATACGGTGGAGCATACGGTAGCGGTATGCCCTGCCTGGGCTGAGCACCGCCGTATCCTCAGGGAAGTGATCGGCGGCGGCGACCTCTCGCGCCCGGCCTTAGTCGAGGCCATGGTGCGGAGTGAGAGGAACTGGGACGCCGTCTCCTCCTTTTGTGAAGCAGTCATGCTCGCAAAGAGAGAGGCGGCCCGCGTGAGGGAGCAATCCTCCTCCTCACGCCCCAGCAGCCGCAACTGGCGACACTACGGGCGTCGGGGATCGAGGGACGATCTCCGGCCACCGTAAGTACGGGCCTGCGGTCGGCGAGTAAGGGCAGCTCGCCGCCCGACCAGAACCAGGCCCGAGCGTACGGCGCGTAGCGTTCCGCGCGCGCCTCAAAGAGCCAATAGACCACCACAGACGGGGCCCTAAAGGGCTGATGTTCAGCCGGGGTTGCGGGGTAAGCGCAATAAGGTACCGCGACCTCGGCACAGAGCAGGAGAAGGAACAGGGGGGTTTTTAGTCAGTAAGAGTCTGACACTCCCTCCTGCCCGGCCCTGGGCGGGAGAAGTCATTTGACGATTTTCCCCTCACAAAAAAAAAAAAAAAAAAAAAAAAAAAAGGTGGTAGTACTTATAAACCAATCCCAAAACTACTAAGTATTGTATAATAAAATAATACCTAAAACTTATATTTATACACTAGCTTCAACTAGCGGTTTCGCCCACGTGAACTGGATGAAAAGTAGCCTACGTATTTTTATATTTGTATTTTATATTATATCTATCTATATTAATTATTAAAAGAAAAACGAAAAACGTCGCGTGTCGCGGAATGCTGCTCATAAATATTTGCCTCTAGCATGGCTTGAAACTAGTCGAGTATCTCGTCAAATTATTACGTGAGTAAGCCGAAAACATAATAAATAATTTCTCGCGAAAGTTATAATAAAAAATCTATCTCTATGCCAATTTTCATCAAAATCTTTTTAGTAGTGTTTACGTGCATGAATTACAAAAATCCATGCTTAAAATTTCGCGACTCGTTCGCGTGGAATAGTAACTTCCTGTAGATTTTGGTATAAAAACTATCCTATGTCCTTTCTCGAGTTCCAAACTACGTCTGTACCAAATTTCACAGTAATCGGTTCATTAGTTTAGGCGTCAAGAAAAGAGTTATAATATTAGTATTAGTATAGATTAAGATAAGTCACTGTCAAAGAGAGATAAGCAAATAAATACATATCTTATTTACAACTACATAAATCATAAATTAATAAAAAAACTGGCTATTGCTGCTTTTACTTCCGTTATTTGTCACTAAGTGGCGGCCGATATTCGTCACAATTTCTTCTCTTCTGACCCACAGGTCACATGAACCGACTAGGGGTCTAAATATTTTACAGGCGTCAGACAGATAAAATTGACCCTTTTAAACTGAGATCTTCCACAACAACACCATCAGCCTATAAATGCCTCCGCCACTGCTAAGGAAAGGCCTCCTCTCACACGGAGAGGGTTTGAGCATTACACCACGCTTGCGCAAGACGGATTGGCGATTTGACAAAAGTCACATTGGTACTTGCCAGGTTTCGAACCCTCATGCATAAGAAGAAGGCGCCTGAAGGCGTTTTCCAGGTCAATAAAAATCTAATATGCATACATTGTCCTCTAAGGAAGCACCTGTATTGGGGGTTTTCAAAAAAAAAAACAATTTTTGTTTTCGATATACAAAATAAAATGTTATCTTTATCATAGATTTTATGCCGAAATTGTATTTACCTTTTACATTGTACTAGCAACCTGCCACGCTGATACTTATATTCTCTATAATTTAATGGATACTATTATATATATAATACTGAGTGAAAGGAAACTTGTGAATGAGCAGGAAGGAATGTATGAACTACTATGAACGGTGAAGAGTAATTAATGAATGGATAAAGATAAGACGGAATAAGTAAGACAACAGGACGGATTCTTTTTTGTTTTTTCTTAATTTATAAATTCAAGAGAAATAAACCAAAATTCATGTACTACATTGCTTATATTTTGCCACTAAATCCCACATATACATAATAAAGCTTCCTCTTCATTCACTCTATTTTATAAAAAACTACATTAAAATTTGTTGCGTAGTTTTAAAGATTTAAACATACATAGGGATATAGGGACAGAGAAAGCGACTTTGTTTAGTAGATACTTATTCACTGATTTTTACATCGGTTACATAGCCAATGTACCTACACTCAACAGTTACATAAACAAGCATACTTAATTAAAATGACGTTTATAAGAAATTCTTCTCCAGTAGAAGTTACCGAACTATTTCAAGTAGAAATGTTTGCATGAGATCAATAAGTTCGAATCAGTTATTAAGTAAATCAATTTAGCTAAACTAAGTTGTTGGCCATTAATATTGTGAATTGCCTATTAATAACGTCTTAATGAATACTTTTCGTTACTGAAATGTTATCTTGTATTAGATGAGTTTATTATTTTATTAGAATTGTATTTCTCAATTATAAGGTTCAAGGTTATGTACGATTAGATGTTAACAGTTTATTTCTCGAGTTAATTATAATAAAATTTCATTTTATCATCCACTTCCAGTACGAATATTATTTTAGCCCCATTTTATAGCATAAGCCATATTTTTTGCCTGACTAATTAATTTTTTTTATGTTATATCGGTCTGTCTGCAAACGAGCAGGATGACACCAGAGGAGTTACGAATGCGTTACCGGCCTTTTGGGATTAGGGTTCCGGAGGTTTAGGGATTGGGTAGGGATGGGAAGAGGGGAAAAATTGGGTCTTCGGTAACCTCACTCACACGACGAAGTACAACGCTGTGGTTGTTTCACGCAGGTTTGTTTTATGGCTGTGGTATCACTCCGGGTTGAATGGGACTTGTGATAATCTCACTCATACTGCAAAATACAAAACTTTGGTTGTTTAACATCGGTTTTCTGTGAGGCCATGGTATCGATATCACACCGGTCAAGCTGCCCCATTTGTGCCATAGCAAGGCTTATAGGATTGCACCTGTTGGCCTTGTGTTGACCTTGTGGCCTGTTCACTGACACACCTAAAATTGGTATCATCTTTATCTAAGTAATATTGTTAAAGAAGGAGTGGGCATTCCATTTACCCATAAACTCGCAAATGTGGGTCGTGTGAAAAAATCATTCTCAATATTGAGAAAACAAAATTTTGCTATCTGGATTTTCCAAATCATTAATTTATTTATGGAATAATGGCAATAATTTCTTATCGTTTATTGTACCAGGTGTTTGATAATAAAGTCTAACCAACTGTTATAAAGGATGTGATAACTATAAATGTTTTGCATTCTAAGGTCAAAATGTCAATGCCCAAAAATGTAATGATATAGAACAATTTTGAAGAACTAGGCAGCCTCCTTCGCAATGAAGGAGGCAAATGCGTAAAGGGAACGATTGTCATAGCACACCGCGTGCCGCACACGGTTCAAAGAGCCGTCAGGTCACTACAGATGGGGGCCCAAATGGGATGATTTCCAGAAGGAGTTGAAGTATTTTTTGTGAGGGGTAAATCATTAAATTACTTTTCTCGCCCAAAGTAACCAAGTGAACGGTGGCCGGATATTGTTGTGTCCTGCGCCCAGGCAGGGCACACCGTTACCCTATGTTCAAAAGATCCAAGTAAGAGACTACATATTGATTCAATTTCACTAAACGAGTCTTATAAGCATTTTTTGAATTTACAGATAATAAATTATTATTAAAAACTATATACATATATTGTTTAAAAAAAAAAGAAAATTTTACAAAAAATGCAAAGATATATTTATTTTTAACAATAGCCCTTATATTATTTTGTCATGGTTCGTCAAGTTTAGTCAACCGATGAGGAGTCAATAACCATGTCTTCAGAGAAGCCACATTCAGCCCTCCAGACGCTCTCCTCCAAGTTGTAGATGGAAGTGACGCTGCGGAAGCTCTCGTAGGCGCATCTCTGGCCGCACTCCTCGATCTCAAGGTATTTGATGACGTCCTCACTGGGAGTGTTCAAGTATACAGGCTGAAAATGAAAAGAAAATATTTGTGAGCCCTACTAATTTGGCTGGCAAAGATTGATCCTAAAGAGGTAAAAGTTGAACTCTAAAAATGGAAAAATGGATCGGCTTGACCGGAGTGATACCACGGCCACATAGAAAACCGGCGTGGAATAACCACAGCGTCGTGTTTCGCAAGGTAAGTTAGGCATCCGCAGGCCCAATCCCTCCCCTCCCTCCTATCCCTTCCTATCCCTTCTCAATCCTTAAATATCCGCTACCCTTATCCACTAAAGGCCGGCAACGCACCCGTAACTCCTTTGGTGACCATGGGCGGCGCTGATTGCTTTCCATCAGGTAATCCAAATGCTCGTTTGCCGACTTATCCCATCTAAAAAATAGACGATAAGCCTCCCCATTAACATCAGACTATTTCTGTCAGCAAGACATCTGACCCAAATGAAATAATCAAGGATAAAGTTCTTGAACGTGATTTCTTTATGATCTTTCCAACTTACCACGACAATATAGTCTCCTGTGTCGACCACCTTTCTCAATTCGAGGGCATAAGCCGAAGCGTATTTAGGGACTCCTTGCTTTTCTGCAACTCTTGTGACGCCTTCAAAAGCGAAAACGTTCAGGTCATGGGCGGAGTATATCTGAACTCTCTGCACGTCTTCTCCAGCAATGACCTGGTCGGCTACTTTGAAGAATTGGTTCAGGAGTGGTCCTGTGGAGGAAAGTGAGATGATGAATATGCTGAGCGAGGGCCATTTCGCGTGCTTTCCCATATGACGCATATGTTTCCTATATATTTTTTTTTTTATATTGTATCACCATGTTTTTTTTTTGTTTTTGTGTTTAAACACTTGTTTGTTTTGTGTCTTATGTACGTCCTAGACGCGAATAAATACTTTTTCTTTCTTCTTCTTTCTTTCTATGAGTAAGATTTTGGGATATCGTCATTGTTTTGAAAGAAGATTTATCACTACATAGTACAAAAAAAAGTCATTTCCTCTGCCCCGATATCTCTATACATGCTCAAATATTTAAAACTTCAAGTACAAAGGATTTTAAGGCGGTTTTATAAATTGATAGTGTGAGAAGAGGAATGGTTATATGTATATACTTCCTATAAGTAGTGGAGAAATTTAGTGTCAGCATTGCTCCGTGCGAAACTGAGACGGGTTGCTAGTTTGCAATAATTGAGACATGTTCGCTGATTGGGATAAAATTAACTAATATACAACAAACTAACACTTATAAGCTTAAGGGCTGATTTCTCAATCGTTAGATAAAAGTTACCTGGGGAATGATTATGATGCTGTCGCTTTAGAATGTTTGTATAAGAGCGGGACAGCAACAATTTTATTCCTCTGATAACATTTATCTGACTATTGAAAAATCAGCCCTAAAAATAGCTACCACTTACCAGCAGATAAAGCTCGGGACGTGTATGAGCTGTACATAGCATCCAGGGCAATGCCAGCAATTACTTCGATCTCAGGGTAAATCGCTGCAATGTCATCGTCTAGAGGAATACCCAGGCTCATCTGTAAAAGGTTTAAGATGATAAATGTGGAAGTTTTGGCACAAATGGGTCGGCTCGGCCTAAGTGATACCACGGCCTCACAGAAAACCGGTGTGAAACAGGCACGGAATTGTGTTTCACTGTATGAGTGAAGTTACCGGACGCCCAATCCTTTCCCTCCCCCAATCCCTAAATCTCCAAATTGATAATCCCCAAAAGGTCGGTAACGTACTCGTAACTCCTCTGTTGTTGCTGGTGTCCATGGGCGGCGCTGATTGCTTACCATCAAGTAATCCATCAGATCGTTTGCCGACCTATCTAATAAAAAAGAACAACAAACATTGGACCAAAATGTTGGTTGTTGCAGTTTTTCTTTTTTTTTTTTTTTTGTGAGGGGAAAATCATCAAATGACTTCTCCCGCCCAGGGCCGGGCAGGAGGGAGTGTCAGACTCTTACTGACTAAAAACCCCCCTGTTCCTTCTCCTGCTCTGTGCCGAGGTCGCGGTACCTCATTGCGCTTACCCCGCAACCCCGGCTGTATGAGTGAAGTTACCGGACGCCCAATCCTTTCCCTCCCCCAATCCCTAAATCTGCAAATTGATAATCCCCAAAAGGTCGGTAACGTACTCGTAACTCTTCTGTTGTTGCTGGTGTCCATGGGCGGCGCTGATTGCTTACCATCAGGTAATCCGTCAGATCGTTTGCCGACCTATCTAATAAAAAAAGAACAACAAACATTGGCCCAAAATGTTGGCTGTTGCTGTTAGGATCAAATTTATTGGTTCAAACATTGGATTAAAAGCCAACAACGATTGGTATAGTCGACTTAGTAAGTATATACGTACCTGGCTTGTATAAACATCGTTCAAACTGTAGGCGTATATGGGGTACTGAGTGAGGTTAAGTCCAACTATGTCAGACCACAGGTTCAGAACATCTTGGTATGGCGCCAATGCAGGAATAGATGATGCAGTGACGGTGTAGGCAGAATATACATTCGTGAGCAATTCTGGGCAATTCACTGTGGCAAGGTTCTGAAAATAGAAAAATTTGCGTATCTTTAAATCTGTTCAAAACAAGGAAATCTTGCCCAGCACTAGGATTTACTTCTGTGTCGTGAGTGGGACAAACATAGAAACTCACATAAACAAGCCACCCAGACACAGAACAACAATTGGTAGATCAAACAAAATGTTGTTTCGTGCAGGATTTGAACCCGCAACACGTTGCAGATAGTTGTCTGACCACTGCGTCAACCGTGCAGTCATGTTGATACTTAATGAAATTTGAATTCGGATGAATGATGACCGAAGGAGAAGCGAAGTTAAGCAGAGACTGTTTTTCATGCCAATAAACCACCACAGACGGGGCCCTATAGCGCTGATGTTCAGTCGGGGTTACGGGGCAAGCGCAATGAGGCACTGCGGCCTCGGCCTAGAGCAGGAGAAGGAACGGGGGGCTTTTTAGTCAGGAAGAGTCTAACACTCTCTTCCACTCGACTCTGGGCGAGAAAAGTAATTTGATGGTTTTGCCCCTCACAAAAAAAAAACAGTGACTATTTTTCTCAAAAGTATTGATTACTTACGAAGTCATATTTAGGAGGTACAGTGGTGTAGGGAATCGGTGTCCAGTTGATCTTATCGCTCCAGTTGTCCGTGGGGGCAGGGTAGACGGCAGCCAGCGCAGTAAGCACCGTCATCTTGGCCCTTGTGGAGTCAGTGGAGCGGACGTAGATCTCTGACTTGTTGAAGGTTGGGGACAGGAGCTCGTCATAACGCCGGCGGATGAACTGGCCTAGCTGGTAGGAACGACGTTTGCCAGCCTAGAAAAAGAAGTAAACAAATCAGTCTGGTGTTGTGTATTCTTTGCCCTGAACCAAAGCTTGAATCACTAATGGATTTCTCGTTTTATAAGAGCTGATTTATTAGTGTTTAACTGAAGATAGTTCCGAGAATTTTCCTGGTTTCCCTAAGAACATCGTTATGTGGTCCTTGAATAATTAATGTTACTCTATGGGATACGCAAAGGTCGCCTCGTACGCACGTCTTAGATTATGTGAGAAAGCCAGCTAAGGCACGAATAGGTCGGCTTGACTGGAGTGGAAAACTGGCGTGAAACAACCACAGCGTTGTGTTTCGCCGTGAGTGGGGTTACCGGATTTCCAATCCCTTCCCCCTCATGTCTTACCAATTCTTTAATACGTATCCAAAATACAATTTCCAAAAATGCCGACAACGCTACTCCTTTGCTATTGCGGGTATACATGGGCGGCGCCAATTGCTTACCATCAGGTAATCCGTCAGCATGTTTGCCGACCTATCACATAAAAGATCAAATATTGGACCAAAATGTTGGCTGTTGCCGAAAATAAAATTTTCCAAATGTTACTTACATCAGTCAGCTGTCCATATCCATATTTAGCAGAGGCGTCTATAAGTTCATCGGAATGGCTTGAGAAAGACAGGGTTGATTCAATTGGAGTCCTGTCGCCGTGTCTGTGGATCTGAAAAGTTATGGTACATTTGTAGAAAAAAGTTGATGAAGAAAGTTAGGGATGAGATTCCTGAAAAATGCTAAGTTTATGTTTTTAATTATTTTTCAGTATTTTAGATTCAATCTCGAGTAGAGTAATATTTTCATATATCATTTTTTATTAATTATTTATTTGGACAAACAACAGAGGTTACATCGGGTTTGTTGATTAAATTAATAAAAACATTGAATTTTAATTAGCTAGTTTGATTTTAATTTCTATTATATATATTTTATGGTTATAAGTTTTTTATGGTTATAAGTTCAAAATCGTCAATTGGATTATCAGCGGAAACTTATAGGTTTTGATGATGAAGATGATGATGAACAAGTCTTTTATATATTATTTTAATAACTGTCTGTTGTAACTGTTTAATACAATTTTATTAAACATAAAACGTGTTAGATATTTTCCAATTGTATACAAAGTGAAAATACTTAAATACCATTAATAATGTCATCACAAAATAAATGGTTTTAAAAAAAAACTATAATAATTTAATTGTGTCAGAATTAATTTGAAAAAAGAATAACTTTTTCTGTATCTTTTGTAAAGCAGTATGGTGAGTACTTACAAGAAAGGTCAGTAGAAGCTCAGTGTCGTCCACCACAGAGTCAGCGCTGTAGCAGAAGCCACTGAGAGATATGAGCAGCACACTGAGTATTGCGGAGTTCATGATGTGATAGCCTCTGATAGCCGTTGTGTTATTGTAATACCCAAGCTGTATGCTGCTATATACCGGCTAAACTCAACTCACGAATATATATACCAAAATTTTGTTTTGCCAATCATGTTCCGATGACTCGTTACGATAAAAATTTAAAGTTAGATAATTATTTGTGTAGGTACTACTGTAATACAAGTTCCACGTGAATCACACGGGATACCCGTTCCGTGTTGGGTATCCGTTTATCAGTTGTTTTTTTTGTGAAAATCACTATTTAATCTTTTTCTCTATAAAGTTAATAGTTACGAAAAAAAATGTTTATGTCTGTTTGTCTGTTATTATACATATAGCACAAATAATTTTGCGTAATGGTTGGGGGTTTGTCTGCCGAGCAATCTAATATTCAGCCTATAAGTGCCCACTGCTGAGCAAAGGCCTCTTCTTACATGGAGAAGGTTAGAGTATTAATTACCACGCTTGCTCAAGGCGGATTGACGATTTCAAGCTTATATTATTTAAGTGTGGGATAGCCATGCTTTGGCGCGAATGGGTTGGCTTGGCCCTTGGCCGGTATGATACCACGACCTTACAGAAACAACTATAGGGTTTGTTTCGCCGTTTTAGTAAGGTTAACAGAGGCCTAATCTTTTCCCTTCCTCGATCTCTCCCCAATCCTTAAACCTTCAAATAGTTGGTAACACACTCGTTACTCTTTCGTTGTTGTGGGTGTCCATAGGCGGCGCTGATTGCTTACCATCAAGAAATATGTTTGCGCACTCTTACTTAAAAAAAAATTGAAATATAAGTCCAAGTTTCCTCATGATGTTTTCCTTCACCGTATGCCAGTGGTGTCTAAATAATCATAGAAAGTACATATAGCTCTGCCCATTGGTACTTGCCGGGTTTCGAACCCGCCCAGCCACCACGACATTACTAACTGCCGAGCAATGTCTTGCAGAATTACTCAATTTATTTGTGCTATTCATAAATTGTTTTTGCATAAGTTTTGTTCACTTCGTATCCAACTAGCAGAAGAACCGGGCACACTGTTATATGAGGCAGTGGAAGACTCCTTTGAGGAGTGGCTAGAGAGACACCATGGCTTTCCACATTTTCCACCTGACACAGGTGTTTACCAAACGGATCTGTTGAGCAATGTGTTGCATTTTTACTCATTTGTGATAATTTTCGTTGCAGGCATTCCAACTAACTGAATGATTAGCTTTTTGACAGAATACTCAGCTGAATTTCTTATTCAGTATGTTATTTGAAGGGCGAAGGGATTGTTCTTAAATCTGAGTTGCTGCCCGAATAAGTAAGTTTGCTTAGTTCAGAACTGCTGTCATTTATTAAACAGGCTTGGCCGACATCTGCATAGTTTACCTCCTATACCATAAAAAATATTATTATTATTATCAGCCATTATCGTCCCACTGCAGGGCGGAGGCCCTCTACCCTTCTTCCACTCTTCTCTGCATAAAGCGTTCTACGGTCAATCCTCGTCGAAGATATCAAGTTCATATGGTCATAGCCTTCTGGGCTCCATTCAATAAAAAAAATGCGTCACGATAATTAGTACCTATGAGGATATTGTATGAGTAGGTAATACATAACCGTTCATCTTTATAAAAAAAAATAACCGTAAAAATGTAAAGTCAGGATGATATTACAAAAGAGAGAATTTCTTTTTGTGACCAAGATAATGACATTTTATGTCTTTTGGTTCCTTAAAGCAAGCCAAACAGTTTTGAGACATGGATTTTTTTATGGGACGGATAGACGGATATCGGGTTATAACCAATCGGTGTCGGCCATGTACAACCGAAAACCAGAAGAGTCTGTTTTAAGTCTTTTGCCAGTGCGGTCAAGACCCTCTATGTCTTGGCCGTACTTTCGGGACTGCACTGATAGCCGTGGGATGCCTCTCCTTCCCCAATTTTATCAGTACGGTCAAGACCCTATGTCTTGGCCGTACTTTCGGGACTGCACTGATAGCAGTGGGATGCCTCTCCTTCCCCAATTTTATCAGTACGGTCAAGACCCTATGTCATGGCCGTACTTTCGGGACTGCACTGATAACCGTGGGATGCCTCTCCTTCCCCAATTTTATCAGTACGGTCAAGACTCTATGTCTTGGCCGTACTTTCGGGACTGCACTGATAGCCGTGGGATACCTCTCCTTCCCCAATTTTATCAGTACGGTCAAGACCCTATGTCTTGGCCGTACTTTCGGGACTGCACTGATAGCCGTGGGATACCTCTCCTTCCCCAAGCAGTTTAACGTATGTTGTTTGTCGCTACATGCTGGCAGCCGTTGCCAGGAGCCCATTAATCGAGTTTGCGATAATGAATATATTAACGATATAGATCTGCGACATATTTGTGTGATGATTGCCTACTAACGTTCCGTCATTTTATGATTGCGATTACCTCATAGATAATATGTTTAGACTACAATGTGTAGTCATCTTATTTCATTGTTCGTTGGAGACAAACTTAAATGTTTTTTATAGGATAAAGCGGACGGATTACCTGATGGTAAGCAATTGAGAAGTAACAAGTGCTATGGGACCTTTTAAGATTTGAGGGTTGTGGGGTTTTTGGAGGGTTGACGGATTCGGCCTCATGTAACCTCATAACGGGGTAAAACACAATTTAAGCGTTTTTTTTTCGCCTCTTTTCTGTGAAGCCGTGATACCACCCCGGCCGAGTCCGCCCATTCATAGCTGTCCTACATTAAAATTAGAATGAATTATCTCTCTCAATATCATATCATTTTACACATAATATCTTTATAAATGTAAAATGCTTAATATTATATCTTAAACAAGAAAGATAGTTATGTAGACCTATCTAAGATATGTAATATAGATTTCGAATTGACGTTTGTTGCGAACCGGCGATTCCGTTTTTCTTGCTTTGTGTAAAATATTTTTTGAAGACAAGAGATTAAATTTATTTATATTTTAATTTAATGTTTCATGTAATAACATGGGTTTTGTGTAAATGTGTGTGTATATAATATAATGTGTTATGTTATTTGAATGTGATAGATCCAAGGCACGAATGGGCCGTCTCAATCGGAGTTATACCACGGTCTCACAGAAACCGGATCTGATAAAACATGTTGTGCTTCGCTGTGTGAGTGAGGTAATGCCCAATCTTTCCCACCAAATAACTCCTCAAACCCTAAATATCCGAAAACCTAATCCCGAAAAGGCTAGCAACGCTAACTCGTAACTTCTCTGGTGTAACGGGTGTCCATGGGCGGCGCCGAGACCGCCCTTTGTGCACGTTGTAATTAAATTCAGTCCTGTTTTACGGTGGAAAATAAAGTGATTAGTAAAGAAAAAAATGTGGAAAAAGTGAAATTTGCACATTGCATATTGGACATATCTACCATTGACGGGAAATGGCAGTTTGTAATATACATGTTACTAGCGACCCGTCCGGCTTCGCTCAAGTGCAATGCTAATAAAACTAAACTTTTCTACTTTTTAATGGGCGCTATTAAACATAAAAAATCCGCATCAAAATCCGTTGCGTAGTTTTAAAGATTTAAGCATATATAGGGCTATAAGTTCAAGTGTGGGAGAGCCATGCTTCGGTATGAATGGGTCGGCTCAACCGGAGTGATACCACGGCATCAAAGAAAACCGGCGTGAAACAACCTCAGCGTTGTGTTACGCCGTATGATTGAGGTTATCGGAGGCCAAATCCTTCCCCTCTCCCGATCCCTCCCCAATACCTAAATCTCCAAAACTCTAATCCGTAAAAGTTCGGCAGCGCACTCGTAACTCCGCCGTTGCGGGTGTCCATGGGCGGCGCTGATTGCTTACCATCAGGTAATCCGTCTGCTCATTTGCCGATTAAGTACATAAAAAAAAACTATAAAGGGACAGAGAAAGCGACTTTGTATTATACTACATATTATTATGTAGTGATGACGCGAATAAAAGTAAAATTATCGATAAACGCCTACGAATTGGTATCTTTAGTTGTTTAAAATATTATTTATAATCTTTATTGTAAATAATCCATGTTTTATTGCTTTGATTAGCTAATGCGGTATGAAGTATGTTTCGCTTTTCCCACGCATAGCTCATGAAGTGGCCACGCAGTTTGTGCCGATTACGATGCTGATTAGGTCTTATTTTAACGATATTTCAGCTCCAGGGGATTTTCTACTGTTAATAGTATCTTTGTTTTGTATAATATTACAATTTTATCGGGTAAAGTCTTTGTTTGTTTGTTGAGGCTTAGTACAGGAGGCACCGATTGGTTTTTTTTTTGTATAGGAGGCAAACGACCAGATGGATCACCAACCAGAGGTGTCACAGGTGCTTTGCCGGCCTTTAAACGGCGGTTTTGGGTAATTGTGGCGCGTTACTCACAAAAAGAAATGTCCATTGTACAGGACCAAAATTCAATGTCAGGCTAGGTTTCGTTCATCGGGGCCGGAGAGATGATCTCTAGCCACCGTAAGCGCGGGTCTATGGACGGCGAGTAAGGGTAGCTCGCCGCCCGACCAGAACCAGACCCGAGCGTACGGCGCGTTGCTTTCCGCGCGCACCTTAAATAGCCAATAAGCCACTACAGACGGGGCCATACAGGGCTGATGTTCAGCCGGGGTTGTGGGGCAAGGGCAATAAAGCATCGCGGTCTAGAGCAGGAGAAGGAACGGGGGGGTTTTCAGTCAGTAAGAGTCTGACACTCCCTCCCACCTCACCCTGGGCAGTCATATGATGATTTTCACAAAGATTATTTTAATTTTTTTTTAGGTTTTAAGTAAAGGAGGAAAAGTAATATCACCTTTAATTGAACAGATATGTTATTTAATAAGTTTACAAACGTAGGCGCGGGCAACAACTAGTATAAATACGCATTTATCAGGTTTCTGACGTTATTTTTTTGGTATTGAAATAACATATACTTAATACTTATAATCAAATGTGGATCTATAAATACATCTAATTTTCGTGTAATGATACCTTATTTGACGCCTATTCGGGTCAAATGGATTTCAAAACCACCAAATTGTATTGTACTCAATCATTAATAACAATGATTTATAGTGTCCGTTTCCCTATGATCATAGTTT